ACTTCGCACATCTAATTGTCAACCAGAGATCAGGTGCAAGTGTTCACGAAACAGATCATAAAAAGGTGGGTGCGCACTACTTTATAAAAATATTACCTTAAGGTGACATTGTCCGGCAGATTCAACGCCCCCGAAATGCTTGAGAGTGAATTGTTCCTGAGATCACTGCATTTGCGGGGTGCACAGAACAATTAGTTAGTATTATTCTGATACTCTATGGTTTGCAGAGAGTCTTGTATAATAATTTTAATGCTGAAAATTAATGGTTTTAATTGCATTTATTTTTGAATTCTTACATTGTAAAACTAGCACTTTTAGTGGAGGTCATGTTCTGCCAAATGTTAGCTGGCACAGACCCATTCAACTGATTATTTTCAAGTGACCTGCAGTATACAATCATTTAGAACATCATATTTAGCGTGCATAGCCTGCAAATAAGAGCATCTAATCTGAGACATTCAGAGCAACATGTAGAACATCATTAAGATGTTTTTAAGATCTTTTCAAGAGCTAAAAATAGGTGGAATAAGTAGATAGAAGCTCACAGTCTTTGAAGAAAAGAAAGATCTGAGAAACTTCCTGGTATAGATCCACTAAGATGGTTCTCTGACAAATCGCTGCAGTTGACAAGAAAAAATTTCAAACACAGAAAGACCTTCATCACAAGCTTGTTAAGTCATCCCGTGGTTGTAAAGTAGATTAAATTCCACTTGTAACATGGTCTTACGAACACTGAATATCACAACTGCAAACCTATACAGCCTACAATTTACCAGTTCTGTTTCTCCCTTTCATCGTGGTTTTACTTACATAGTTCTCATAGTATCAGAAAGTTTGGATGGTAGAGATCCTCTAAGGTTGTTCTTGCTCAGATCCCTGCAGGCCAAATTAGATACGCAGGTACCATAAGTGCATGTAATAGAAAAATAGAAATGAAATTCAAGTTCAATGGCATTGATGGAAAGAGAATACTAACAAATGCAGAAAGAACTTACAAATAGTATAGGTTTGGTATGCTGCTAAGATCAGGTATAGAACCTTGCAAGCTACAATTTCTGAGACTTCTACCTTGTCAAAGAGGATTAAAAACAAAGAGAAAAGGTCATCATCGACACTTCTTTTTGTGTATGTTTATGCAGAACAAGTTTGTCATTTGATTCGTGTTTATATAAACACAAAAGAAAAACCCTTGAGCATGTCCTATAAGTGAAACACAAGTTGATGAATATGAAAATACATAAAATTTTTAAACCAGCAATCCAGGAGCAAATCTGCACAATCAGAATTCATGACAAAGACTTCATACAGTCCAAACAGTGTGAAGATTCCTCCTCTGAATGCAAAATAGCTTTGAAGCATGTCATGTTTTATTTAGACTTACAATTTTACTAATCTGGAAAGGCTGCCATAAGTAGCTGGAATTCCAGATCCGTTAAAGTTGTTGTTGTCAAGTTGACTGCAAGGAGGACAATAAATGAACTGTCAACAAAATTTACTCTAAGTAACATATGCACAGACACAGACAAACACACAAGCACATGAACATGCATCGTGCCTCATCTCATTTAAGTACCCTGCAGCTTTACTGAATTCTCACTACAATCAATACCGCTGCTAATAAACAAATCTAATAGAATGTATGTACATAAAAGAAAAGATCACACAATAAGAGAAATGATTGAATGTGATAATGATTCAAGTAACATTCTAGACAACATGATAGAAGCACGTACATTATCCGCATCTCTGGGAACTTTGATAATTCTGGTGGAAGATATCCAGATAAGTTATTATTATCCAAAAGCCTGCAGAGATTGTTTCACATGTTCTCAATCAGGGGAAAATTTTCACGTGGATCATAAAAATAAGTAGACATTAGAACAAAAAGGAAACCATTGTAGTAAAACTCACAAGTGAACAAGAGTTGATAGTTTGGAAAGCTCGGGTGGAATTTGACCACTGATTGAGTTGTTGTTCAAGTGGCTGCAAGTATCACATGCAAGTCAACAATATATGCGGACAAAAGCTAATCTCTTTGCAACTCAAAGAAGGATTTAGCTTGAAGATACACTTACAAATGTCTAATACTGCTCATGTTAGCAAATGATTTTGGTATTCGTCCTGAAATATTGTTCTGATCCACTTGGAGTCTAATTAATTTCGATAAATAGCCAAGCTCATCAGGTAAAGATCCTGATAATTTGTTTCCATTCAACAGCCTGCATAGATAATAATACATTACAGGACGTTAAACTAATTCAAAGCACATACCAGTGTAGATTCATTTTTAAGATATCCATTTCTATAACCATGACAGAAGGAGGATAACAACCCACTGAAAAAATGAAATAACATGAAACCAACTTACAGGAGTTTCAAAGATGAAAGATTTCCTATCTCTCTTGGTATGCTGCCAGTCAATTCATTCCACATGAAATCCCTTGTAATCACAACAGAAAGGGGACTTAGAATCACCAGAAGCGGATTAGCAAGACATGTTCAGATACTCAAAAGTAAATTCTCCAGAAATATGGTTGCTAGATATTGCAACTCACAATATTGCCAGTTGAGAAAGTTGGCCTAGCTCAGGTGCTAAATTTCCAGAAAGATTCAAATTAAGAAGCTGACTGCATCAAAATTGACAAATGGAAAGTGTTTCATAGCCAGAGTTATGATTGTATCATAAAGAAATCCTCTGACTTTATTCATCAAAACACGAAGGGTAAAAAATAACAACAACAAGAAAACGCATAGAACATACAGTTCTCGGACATGCAAGTATCCATCAGTCCCAGTTGCATCATAACAAAAAACACCAGTCCAATTGGAGGTACATGGATCTCCCTTATTCCAATTTCTGAGATGCTTCATAGGATCAATCAAATTGTTCTTGACTGCTAGCAATGCATTGACTGCAAAAATGCACAATATTGATAACATTAGAGCAGAGCAGTAGGCAACCAACACTGCCTAGCTTTACCAAGAATTTTGGGCATCACAATAGCATATTAAAAGAGGAGGTGCAATCTCTTTCTTGAAAACAACTTGCCTAATTTTCCTTGTCTAGTTTTGTTTTCTTATTCTCCAAATAGACAACTTAATTATATAGTTTAAGCACACATATTTCTACCCATTTTACAAGCCTCAAAGAACACGTATCGCAGGATCATTTTGTCAACGCAATCATGATAACATTCATGAAAAAGTCAAGTTGAGAATTTGCGGGGGGAAAAAGATAAAATTCACCTTCTGAGGGATTTGTAACTTGAGCAACTGTAAGGAGCAGCAAGTAACAATATGACAGGAGAAAAACACACCCCCAAGTTCTCAGCTGCAACATCTTCATTCCCTAAGTAAGAACCAAACAAAATCACTAAACATTTTGCATATTCATTTCCAGCAATCCCTTCAAAATCAAAAGAAATAAGCAACAAGATACAATCTTTTCCCCCGAAAAAAGCATATCAGGGAAAGGGGAAAAAAGTCCAAACCAAGCTTGCAGATTTAATGTCCCCAAAATATCCAGCTTACCAAACAAGGAAGATAGTCAAACCCCATAATTCCGGTAACTAACAATGAAACAGGCGCCCAGCAGTAAAAGTCTAAAAAATCCACAATTTTCAATGAAAACAAAAGGAAAGGAAGATAAAAGAAGATGCTTACGGGAAACGAGTCAAATATGACCAAACCGTAGTGGGATTGCTTTAAACATCCAAACCATACGATAAGCTATGAATCCTTGAGACCGCAGAATCAAGAGTTGTAGACTTCTGCAACAGAAGCAAGTAAAGCTTGGTGGGCAGGGAAAAAAGATATAGCAGAAGTCCTGTTGATGGGGGCACGAATGATAATAAATGGAATCTAGTTTGAGCAATAGAAAACGATATGTATGTGAGATGGCATTGTCGTCATGGTTGCTCCATCCATTCTAGCACCCAGTCAAGATTACAAGAGAGAAAGTCTAAAGATACTCAATTTTTTTACTAATTACTCTGTTTTTCTCAATTATTACCGAGTAGTATATTTGGATGAAATGCAAAACAGTGACAACGTGTAACTTCAACACAGTTTGCACTTTCACGTTACCAAGTTCTTTAATGATAACCAATGGACTGTTTGTTGTCTTGTTATCTACAATTTCAAGAAAAAATAATCTTGTTCAAGAACTAAATCACACGCAATAAATTTGAAGTGCAATAAATAAATAAATAAATCTTGTTATTATTATTATTCGCAATTTGTTATGCATACCTTCTCAAACTTTAGTGGAAGTAGATATGAATAAAACATGGCGGGGAGCTTCCCTACAGCGACAGCTGTGGACTTTTTTAGGCATTCCAACCTACCTTTAAGATCTTGCAAAAAGGGAAAGGCCTCAACGTAGTATTTGGTATTTGTATTCTTTTTATTCTCACAATTTGGTCACTGCATGCCTTTTTTTTTTCAATATTATCCTTGCAAATCACCTCAGAAAGAGATCGAGAAAGAATATCTTCTTAAGAGTTTATTTAATAAATTATTAACTGAAAATAGAAAAACAAATGTAATAATCAATGAGTAACAAAGCTTGAAGTATAAACCTACAAGGACCACTTTAAGAAAAGAAATTCATACAGAGGTCATTAAATGATGAGGTGGAAGAATCGTAATAAGAAAAAAGACAAATACATGGACTACATTAGAAGAAAATGAAAAATACAGGCACCAAACATGGCATTAAATCTCCCCCGACATGCATTCCGAACATGGTAACGCGGTGGCTGTTCTACTTTCAGACGCCACAGGGAAAGCCGAAAGGGTAATGGTTGTTCTTTGCACGTGCCGCGTTAGTCAAACTTTCAATTTCCGTTTTTTTGAAGAAAATACAAAAAGTCAACTTTCTTCCATGTTAAATAATAGTGAAGGTGATAATATTCCAACCACAATTATTGCTTGCTTCTGAAATTGATTGATTGATCGATCAAGGTTATATATATATTGGCAGCTCTCATGGTTAGAGGTGGAGTTTGGTAGTGGAGGTTGTACCGTACTTTTTTTTTTTTGTTTTTAAGTTCTAAATTAATTTTTTTTTATTGTGTTTTTACCTAAACCAGCATTTTGATGTTTTTGAGGCCAGCCCAAATGATATCAGAGGCCTACAAGAAACAGAAGCTCTTTCTTACACGCATAGGTCCAATCCAGTGTGTCGCCAAGAAAGAAACGGAGGCTATGGTTAGACTGATTCCGGGTTGTATCGAGCTCTTTTCTGTCAGTACACTTCGCAGATCAGTGGAGCCATGATTTTTCTGGTAATGTACAAAAAGAGGGAGTGGCGCTCAACCCTCTTATTGTCTGCTTGCATCAAGTTTGGAGCTAATGAAGCACTTTGCAAATTCATCAAGAGAACATAGATTATACACGCTAACAAATGAAACAAGCAATGATGGGCTGCTGCTGCTGCAGACTATAAAAAAACACAGATAGTGTTGCAGCCATGATCTCTTAAGCATTGTTGGTGGCTCCACCCCCCGTCCGCCTCAGTTTATTGTTGATGATACTGGGAAGACTACATCTGATCTCAGCCATGCCTGTCTGTTATGGCAGAAAAAAGGATCAATTTATCCCCAGTATGGATAAAAGCCACATTATCTGATATAGTTTTGTCCACTATTTATGGACTAACTTCTCGCCAGTTATGGACCACCTGGGCTAATCGCTTTGCACCTCCCTCTCCCTCCCGTATCTTCCATCTCAAAAGACTCTTCTACACACCTCGACAGCCCTGCCAAATTTGTGGCAAAACAAATCACCAAGCACTCAACTGCTATAACAGGATGCATTTTTCTTACCAAGGGAGTCATCCTCCATCTCAACTTGCAGCATTAAGAGCCCAATCAAATGTCCACATCACAGATGATCTTGACCACTTATCTCTGCAACAACAGTCGTATCAAGGTGCAGACACAGTTACAGAGGGTAATGGATGAGGTTTGCACATCACACACAATGGTTCTTCATTATTTTCCTCCCCCACCTCTAAAGTTTTCCTCACAAATATTCTTAGATGCCCTAATGCTTCATTTAACTTGCTGTCAATCCAAAAGTTTTGTGCTGATAACAATTGCTAAAGTATTCTTACCGCTGCTTGTTTTATTGTTAAGGATCCGCAAACACAGGAGACACTCCTCCAAGGTTCGAGTGAAGCAGGCTTGTATCCCATCCATCTGCAACATCTTCGGTCCGCTAAGGCATCCCCGACGCCGAATCAACATCTTCCTCCCCTTTTCATCGTATTACTAGTAGTCAATGTAAGGATTACGGACACCATCTATCTCTACATTGGTATGATATTGTCCACTTTGGGCCTAAGCCCTCATGGATTTGCTCTTGGGTTATACCCAAAAGGCCTCATACCAATGGAGATATTTGTCCATCCTTATATACCCTTGATTCTCCCTATTTCTAACCAATGTGGGACTTTGGTCGCATACCCAACAATCCTTCCCTCGAACAAAGGACCACCGAGCCTCTCCTCAAACGATCATTTATCCATCTACTCTCTGCCAACCAGGATTTTTCATTCATCCTCTACTTCTCTCTACTTCATCGTGTTGGGGTCAGGACACGTCCATGAAGCATCCGGAGAGCACTACCTGACTTGAGAGTTTTTGCTCTTTCTAGGTCAACTCCTCTTCACCGTGTTGAGATCAGGACACGTCCATGAAGCATCTGGAGCATACCGCCTATCCAACAGAGCTAATCCATGGATTACATCGTGATTTAATTAGGGCTCATCACCTTTTGTTAGGCATTCCGAGGATTCATCCATCATGGCTAACTCGGGGGCATGGCTCTGATACCACTTGTAAGGATTACGGACCCCACCTATCTCCACATTGGTATGATATTGTCCCCTTTGGGCCTAAGCCCTCATGGATTTGCTCTTGGGTTCTACCCAAAAGGCCTCATACCAATGGAGATATTTGTCCATCCTTATATACCCTTGATCCTCCTCATTTTTAACCAATGTGGGACTTTGATCGCATACCCAACAGTCAAGGCACCAATCCAAGCTTGGCACTCAAGATTAGGCCATCCCTTTGAGTCTGTCCTTCAACAACTTGTTCTTCAGTCTGTCTTGCTTGTGTATGGTTCGTCTAGATTTCATAAACTCTGTGAATCTTGTCAAATGGCCAAGAGTCACGAACTTCCTTTTACAGAGTCCAATAACAGGCCTCCTTATCCTTTAGAATTAATTCATTTAGATGTTTGGACCTTACCAATTCATTTTGTAAGTGGCTGCAACTTTTATGTTATTTTCATTGATGATTTGTCTCGTTTCTCATGGTTGTTTCCCATACATCACATATTAGATATTACTAAGTTCTTCATTAAATTCAAATGCTTGATTGAAAATCTATTTTCATGTAAAAAAAAATATACAGACTGATAATGGGGTGAATATACCTCAAACTCATTCAAAATACTTATTGAAACACATGGGATTCTGCATCACCTAACATATCCATATACGTCAGAACAAAATGACATTTCTGAGCGAAAGCATCACCATATTACTGAGACTGGTTTGTTTCTTTTTGTTCAGTGTCATCTTCCATCTAAGTATTGGGTTGATGCTTTCTTAATAGCTACATATATTATAAATAGTCTCCCTACACCTGTTCTTGGAAACGAATCTCCTTATCTTAGGCTATTTAAACAACATCTAGATTACTCCATTCTCAAGAACTTTGGCTGTATTTGTTACCCCCTGCTTCGTCCATACCACACTTATAAGTTGCAATATCGTAGCAAACAATGTATTTTCCTAGGATATAATGCTAAACAAAAGGGTTACTGTTGCTTGGATCCTCACACCAAATGTGTATACATCTCACGTCATGTGGCGTTTGATGAACTGAATTTTGATGATTCCTCCCTGCTTGCTCGGTCTTCAGAGGTTGTTTCTCCTAGTGTTGATCCTTCGACTACTTCATGTTTGCTCTCTAAAATTCTAGTTCTTCAATTAATCTTTAAATTCCATCATATACACGTTATCTTGCACCACATACTTCCCCTGCAATAGACCACACCACACCACACCACACCTGATTCTCCATTTCCTTCACTATCTCCCGCACCCCCATCCCCTACCTCATCTAGGCCTTCCAGTTTAATTCCTTCTCATATCATTGTCCCTATAGAATCTACTCCCTCCTTACCTTCCTGTATGGTCACCAGGTCCCAAACCAACTCATTAAAACCAAAGCAGTTTCCAGACCATCGTTTGTTAGCATCCTCTCCAAGCTTTGTCCACAATTACCATTCCCTCCGAACCCACAAACTACTCTCTAAGAAGTAGAGGATAAAAATTGGTGTGATGCTATGCAAGCTGAATTCGATGCTCTCTTACATAATAAAACTTGGATTTCATACCCACGTCCTGCATCCAAGAAAGTGGTTAAGAACAAATGGGAATTAAAGATTGAACAAAAATTCGACGGTTCTGTTGACAAGTACAGAGCAAGGCTTGTGGCTAAAGGTTTTGATCAAGAGAATGACAGTGACTTTCAGGAGACATTTAGCCCTGTTATCAAACCAACAACCATTAGACTTGTTTTAGCTCTTGCTGTCTACCATAGTTGGTCCATTCACCAACTAGACATCTCAAATGCATTCCTTCATGGATTTCTTGAAAAGGAGGTATTTATGGAGCAACCTATGGGCTTTAAAGACCAACACCATCTAGATTATGTCTGTAAGATTCAGAAATCCATATACGGCTTAAAACAAGCCCCTAGATCTTGGTTTATGCGCATTTCACAAGCATTGTTGGAGCTTGGTTTTGTTGGTTCTAATGTGGACAACTTTTTATTCTCTTATAATCATAATAATATGTGCATTCATGTACTTATATATGTGGATGACATCATTGTCTTAATTAACTATTTTCCTGCTATTTCTCTGATTATTTCTACCCTGGGCAATGAATTTGCAGTCAACGATCTTGGTCCACTCTCATTCTTCTTGGGTATTCAAGTCACAAGAACTACCGATGGTCTTCACCTTCATCAAGTAAAATATGTGACTGATTTACTTCATCGAACTAAGATGGTGGGTGCCAAACCCTTGTCCACTCCTTGCAGTTTTGGTGGGAAGTTATCAAAGTTTTCGGGTGGCCCCCTTTCTGACTCGACAAAATATCGCTCAATGGTAGGAGCTTTGCAATATCTTACCCTCACAAGACCTGACATCTTCTATAGTGTCAACCAGTTTTGCCAATTCCTGCATTCTCCAACAACAGTGCACCTAACTGCTACTAAACATATTTTAAGGTATCTATAGGGCAATCTTACGTTTGGTCTACAATTCACCAAGGGTTCTCTGCAACTAAATAGCTTCTATGACTCCAATTAGGCCGGGGGTCCTTACGATCAAAAATCCACAACTGGATATGCCTTCTATCTTGGACCCTGCCTTATTTCATAGGAAGCTAAGAAGCAACCTGTCGTGGCCAAGTCGATTGCTGAGGCTATATACCACTCGATGACACTCACTGTAGCTGAACTTTATTGGCTACGTATGCTCTTTTGTGAACTTCAGGTTCCACTCACCTCAGCTCCTTGTCTCTGGGTTGACAACATTGGAGCTCTAGCTTTATCCTTAAATCCTGTGTTTGTTTCATGCGAGGACAAAATACATCGAAGTCGATTATCACTTCACACGTGAGAAGATTCTGAACAAAGATTTACAAGCTCATTATATTTCAACTTATGATCAAACATCAGACATCTTCACCAAGGGCCTTTCTTCTTCACGATTCTTCGAGACAAGTTCATGCTTCGATCTCTCCCCACCAACTTGTGCCGGCGGGGGGGGGGGGGGGGTTGAAAAAAATTATGGGGGGGGGGGGGGGGGGTGTTAGACAAGATATCTAGGAAAAATAGAAATTATAGGAACGACATATTACTTTTCTTATTCAGTTGTTTGTTCAATATCTGACAACTAGAATCTTTGATTCTTTGTATTTTACAGTTTTTATCTTATCTGTAAATTCAAACATGTATATATCCTTATAAATACATGAATATTCTTCGCTGGAGTACTGAACCACTCTTCATAATTCCTTTAATTCTACGAACATGATGTTTTCTGCTTCATCAATGGTTCCTTCATCCACTTCCCTGTAAACTTCATGCACAATTTGAGGGGGAGAGAGATAAATGAGTACAAAGGTCATCTAATTTTGATATCAACGAGGCGGTATGAATGGAATGACACCACTGCTAAGATCACCTCCCAAGTGACTGGACGAGTTGGATATATCCCTGTTTGTGCAGAATGAAGATGAAGATGCTGACATGCCAGAAAATGTGGGTGTGGTCTTCCTGGAATTAGCAGAAGGAGAATATGTTTCAGTAGTTTCTGTTTCTGGCAAGATTCTGAGAATGTTTTCAAGTTCCCTGACCACTTCCACCATTGATGGCCGCTTGTCTTGCTCATCATGGCAACAATTGAGTGCCAAAGGTACAAATCTCTCGATGCATTTAGATGGATAGGAAACCATTCTTCTGTCTATGATGGAGAACATCTTATCTGACTCACAAGCAATATTTACCTGAAACCATTTTTTTTTATCCTTGTGTTAAATAAAAAGTTATTTGATCAATATTTGAATGCAGTGTGAGTAGAAGAGAACTCAAGGTCTCTGAAAGATCAATGTGCATCACATACAATACCTCACGGACTAAGTTTTTTCCACGATATATTGGCTGCATTCCTGTCAAGAGCTCCAGAAATACAACTCCAAGGCTGTAGACATCACTCTTGTCTGTCAACTTGCGGGTCAAAAAATATTCTGGATCAAGGTATCCCTGCATATTCAATAACAAAATCCAAGAGTTTTAGTACTGAAACGATACAGGCCATTACAGGTAAATGGCCTATAATGATGGCAGAACAGAAAAGTTCAAAACAATCAGAAGAGACTCCAAATCGGAAATTGATTTGCTGCAATCCGTACTGTCTAAATTTTAATTCTTTGGGTTCTTTGGAATACATCTTATGAACTATTTGAAAGGAATTTAAAGCATCATGATCAGAAAACCATTCAGCAAACAAATATTCTCTCTTTTGACAGAAATTCCATATTCACCATGTAACAAAGCATCCTTTCTGCATGGCTATTTTCGTAATGGAGTCCAACTTACTGGAGTTCCCTTCACCACTGTAGATACATGATTAGGCTGATATCCATCATCATCCATGACAGGAGCCAGAAGTGAGAGTCCAAAGTCGGCAACCTTAGCAGTAAGCTTAGAGTCCAAAAGTATGTTGCTAGCCTTAATATCTCGGTGGAATACTGGAGGGTCTGCTTCAGTATGTAGGTAAAGGATCCCCTTTGCTGAACCCAAAGCAATGCTTAACCTTGTTCCAAAGCTGAGCTTCTCCTTATCTTTAGCCACATGCAACAGCAGCTATCAATTTTGAGACTCCCAGCACTTTAAAAGGTTAATGTTCTAAATAAACGATAATGTGTGGATAGTAATTGAGGAATTACAATAGTCTATGGTGTTGAAAATGAAGTAGAGAATTGTCTAGATCTAATACTGTAACATTATTTCCGTCCGATTTTAGCCCTCTGTAACAGTTAAACCACACCTTTAGCCAACTCTGAATCTATATTCATTCCAGCATTTAACGACATGTGATTATAAGACCTAAAGGTTCTTAAGAATATTATAAACACTCTAGGAGAGTATCATGGAGATATGAAGTAGATAACAGATAAAAAGATTTAACAGATTTTTATACCAGACAACCAGTCCCTCAAGGTACCATTCGGCATGAACTCGTATACTAGCATCTGTGCATAGACAAAGAACACAAGCAGGCTGATTCAACAAGTAACCAATCAAACTTTGCAAATAAAGATGCAAAAGCATATCAAATCCATTTAATTTCTTAGAAAAAGGATTTAGAAAACCACTCTGTAAGATGGCCGAACAAAACTCGATTGGTGCGCAATAAGCAGAATGAAATGAAGAACATAGTTGAGAAAGAAAGCCTCTTAGAGATTCAAAACAAATTAATGAAATTTAATCCCAATCTCAATTCACATTCTGAATGAGCTGATGATATTTTCCTGGAGAAATTCGATGGCAAGAACCTAAGCCATGGTAAATAAAAGCAACAGGTCCTTTCCAGGAACCTACTGCGCTTTCAGGATGCTTATGCAGTCCTGCATTTCTGAACAAACAAGTTCCTACGCCCCCGCCCCCTTGCCAGGGACCCCTCGAATATGCCCTTCTCATTTGATTTTCCAGAACAAACGGGATAGAAAAAAGTACATGCCAGAAAAAAATTATATGAAATGACATCCACCACCTAAAAATATTACCTGCTCCCCTCTTTCAACACAATATCCAGTCAACGAAACTAGATTTCGGTGATGTAACCTTGACAACAACTTGATCTCCGTCAAAAATTCCTTTTCGCCTTGTAAGGATCCTTCTTCGGCTCGCTTTATAGCTACCACTGTTTTGTCTGGTAAAACCCCTCTATAAACCTTTCCATAACCTCCTTTACCAATTTGTGTCGCGCTGTTGAAGTTATCGGTAGCCAAGACTATTTCTTTGAAAGTGAAGCTCTTCACTCCATCAATTTTCATCTGTACTGTTAAGGCGGCAAATAAACAAAATAGTCTCATGTACCTTCTTCAGGTGCAGCCAAATATGATAGTATTAGAAGAAACAAATACTTATTAGTCACAATGACAGACTTACATAAATCTTTTCTTGGAAGCCTCTGACTGTATCTGGCATTTCTTACAATAATCAAAACTGTGATTGCTGAAATTATTACAATAGCACAGGCAATAACAGCTAGTATTATGGCTGCCCAAACACCCTTACTGATACCTTCTTTATGGAACTCAACATTCACTGTTGGAGAAAAAAAATAATGGGGCATACAGTAGTCACCCATCAGTGAATTAGAGAATGCTAAACCTGCAGTCTATGTTTAAGAGATTCATATACATGATGAACTGTGATTCAGAAAATGTTGTATATCACCATGAACATCCATACCATTATGAAAGTATTGAGAGAAAAAACATTGTCACTCTATAAAGATCATAAGAGCTATTTAATACAATTGAACTCATCCTTCCAGGATTGTTAGCAGGGGCACTGAATTCCTAGTTAAAATTGTACTTCAATGCTAACGGAAAATCTTCAGGCTTGGGAGATGCTTATTTTGCAGAATAGGAATGATTGTAAAGCTAAGACATGATGTTTTTGGTAACTTATTTATGTGATCTCAAATACTTATGCTGTTCTCATAGAAGACACAAAGACTCATGTTAGTTACACATAAGGGCATAAAGGTTAATTCAACATCATTTAGCTAAGGATTTGGAATTTCATTTTAGCCTGAAAGAAGTAGCAACAGTACATACTCTGTGCATAAGGTCCCAGTAGGGTGAAGTTGAGAAGCTCATATGGTCCAAAGAAGTCATTTGGAGGAAAGTGCCATGATGCAAATATATCTCTTATTCGTTGAACCTCTGTCGCATTGTACATTGTTGAATGAACATTATTAACTGGAGGAAAGAGCTTCAAATACATCCTTAGACGAGGTCCTTCTTCCCAGAAAAAGGAATCAATGGACAACTGATACGGGCTCATGTTAAGAGAACGCGTTACGTACTCCTCGAATTGATTAACATGTGGTGTGAAATAAGAGAAGCTAGGGCTCTTAAGACGGTATCCAATTCTGAGAGGGGCTGCACAAAAGCATGGCACAGGAGATGATGCAACATATTCAAAGAAGTCATCTGTTGGACATGATTGAACATAACATGAAACTTTTGAATTTGTTAGCCTTTCAGGAGTCTTATCTCCTCCAGCTTCAGGTTCACAGAACTGGATAATGTTTGGTGTGTTAGCTTCATGGCAGATAGGATTGCCTCCAAGCCTGAATAAAAGCACTAAGATAATGAGAATCTAGTTGACGAGTATAAAACCAAAAACATTGTATGCTGAAGTATCGATCTCATTTTCCATCTGTAGTAATTTCATTAACATTATTGTGGCATTTGAAAATCAGCAGGAGGTTTGTATTTGAATCCTTGCTTTCTATTTGAGGCTGTGTCCAAAGCCTGGATGAGCATGAAGAGAAAATATTGTATCAATTACTCTACAAAAACACTACCTCAGGGTGACATTTTCTGGCAGATTCACTTCTCCTAAAATGCTTGAAAGCGAATTGTTCCTGAGATCACTGCATTTCATATGCACAGAAGCAGAAGTTAACAGTATTTTGCAGTTTAAATAGTCTTTAATATAAGAGTTCATGCGGAAAGTTATTGATTTCATTTAATTTCTTCTTTCAGTTCTTACACTGTAAGGCCGGCACTTTTAGTGCACGACATGTTCTGCCACATGTTAGCTGATACATAACCGATCAACATATTATTTTCGAGAGACCTGTAATATAGGAACATTGAAAATATGATGTTTAATGGACATGACATCTGAAAGTGATGAATTATGATGTTTTATATATGTTATTTTTGTGGGAATCCATGTTTAAAAAGCCAAAAATAAGGTAATAACCTAATATTATTGAGCTTAATCTCAAATATACATGAATTTGGTGAACTATCAGATATAATATTGTTGAACTCTGCTATATACTAAGCCTAAATACATGTTAATTTAATGAGCTGCTAGTTTCAATATCCTTAAACTCAACCATTTAAACTCAACCATGTGAGTTTGGTGAGCTACCAGATTCAATATTCTTGAACTTGGCATCATGTTAAGCCCAAAATAAATATAGAATTAATAATATTTATTAACCCTATATTGGACCACAAGACTTTAGTTGTTTATTCTTGTGATCCTTAACATAAAATTTAAGGTTAAAGATATTTATCTCTTAACACCTCTAGATATATAAAAAGTCTTTTAAGAATCTATTATTTTTCCATCAATATTAATGATTTGTATATCTATCCCTTTTTTATGATGTGCAAGAGATACTTATCTCTAATTTATGATTTCTAGAATATCATTATACTTTCTTTCCAAAAAGATACTTACTTAAGAATTTGAGAGTCTCTAAATCTACCGAATGAGACTTTTATAGGTACCAGTTACCCTGGCTTACTAGGCACCACTCACCTTGGCCATGGAAAATAGATTAGATTGTTAGAAATAAGGTATTAATCGGTTATCTATAAGTTTCGCTCCAAAGCTACTTGGACCTTTTTAGAAACTTATCATTAGCACCATTTATGAAAAACTAATAAAAAAGCTATCAATTATTCTCCCATAACTAGTTTTTGACATCTCTAATCACTATCAATTATAAACAATCATGGTATGTCTAAGATGGAACGTATCATGGATCTCCTATAGCTATTGGCACAACTACTCTATCAAAGCATTAACAACTCCTCAATTAAGTTTGACTCCTCATTAAACACTAGTATACCAATCAAGAGAAGCTCTCCAGGGCAATAACATTACTCAACTAGGGGGGTGATGTGTATTCTTATGATCCTGTTCATGTTATCAATAAAGCTCCTATAGAAACAAAGACTACTTTAATTATCAATAATGTTCCAAATCAATATGGAATACATAATATGCTGCAAATAATTGATGCGCACTGTTTGTAAGAGAGTCGGAAGGCTAGACAATATTTTTATTATTAAGTCAGAACATGATTTTTCGTATTTACCTAAGGACTTGTTGAGACAAACATATTTAAGCTGCACTTTTTGTCAACTTCATGAATCTTATTGAAACCTAAAAACTTTCAACAAGTGCAAAATGAAATGTTGGTTCAAACCGTAAAACATGTGAAGTTTCATTGGCAATTATCAACAAGAAAATGAGTTAACTACCTAGAAAACTTCTATCGAAGAAACTCTATTTTCTCCTCACTTATAGACCATGATCTCAACAAAGAATAGATATCCAAGCCATCGATTGACTAAGAATATAAGTTTCTTATTTATGAAATAACTTATTAGAGCAATGATGTTTTCTTTTTCTTTAGGTCATGCCTAAAATCCTCTCATCAACCTTCTAAGGATGAGATTAGTTTAGTCTCTCATTATGATTACATAATTTACCTTGGAAAGAATTGACTTAGTCTTCCAAATGTAATTGTATAATTTACCTTGAAAGGAATTGACATGGTTTTTCTAGGGCACTCGTAAAACTCTTCCAGGATATGATTGACACGACATCACTTTAGGACAATAACCCTAAATTCAACAAAAATAGGATTAACTCGTTTTATGATATATTTTTAAGGTTTCTCTTTCTAAAATAACATTTCTCTCTTTCTCTCTAAAAAAATATTTATTTAATAATCTAAAAGTTTTCAAATTTTGCTAAAAGTAACCTTATACAAATACTAGTTACCATTCATCTTAAATGTAAAGAATAAATTAGATTGTTAGAACCAAAAAATTAATCAATTCTTCAATATATAATCCTTGTTCCAAAGCTACTCGGAAACCTCATCAACAAGTAAAATCATCTAATTGAGACATTAAGAGCATCTTGAAAATGATGCTCTAAAGATACTACAGTAAATTACTAATTTCTTAGTACAAAAGAAAGACATGTAGATAGAGTCTCACAGTCTCTGCAGAGAAGGAAGATTTGAGAAACTTCTTGGTATAGATCCATTAAAATGGTTATCTGATAGATCACTGCATCAAACAAGAATAAGTTTCAACTACAGGAATACCTTAAAGAAAAACTAATTAGGTTATCAACAGGTTTTGAAATATAACATTGTTTTGCATATATTTCAATCAATAGAAGATCAAATCTCCCTGATAGAAATCTGTACTGTCAAGAATTAATAGTTTTATGTTCCTTTTTGAACAGAAAAACCTACCAGTATACTTTGGTTTACTTACATAGTGGTTATGTTATCAGAGAGTGTTGGTGGCAAGGGTCCATTGAGCTCATTCTTGCTTAGATCCCTGCAACAAGAGCCCGATAACATTAACTGAAAGGCAACAGTTGTGTTATAGTATGAAATTCAGATACCACTTACAGATATGAAAGGTTTTGTATGCTGCTAAGGCCCGGTATGCTTCCTTGTAAGCTGCAATTTCTGAGACTTCTATCTCGTCGAAGAAGATTAGGAAACGAAAGAGTAAAATTATCAACTAACACAATGGCGAAACACTTGAAGCCTCCCGACTCCAGAAGTGGAATGTGATTTTGCAAAGAAGTACTTAATAATTCACCTTCATTAGTGACTGGATTTAAACATCAGTTTGTCTATTAAAAACTCGAGACAGAGAGTGCTGGTTAAGAGCATGCACTTTCCTTCTCTGCATAATTTAAAACTGTGTTTATGAAGGCACAGTTGGTTATATAGAACTTACAATTTTGCTAATTTGGAAAGGTTGCCATAGGTATCTGGAATCCCAGAGCCAATAAATTTGTTGTTGTCAAGCTGACTGCATGGTGAGAAGGGGGAACTATCAATGGATTTAATCAATTACAATATATATATAAGCATGTTACTTAAAGCTGCTAAGTTTTTTCCAGGACGGAAACCATCACTGACAAGCAACTATTGATCAAATCCATGTACATCAAAAACTAAGAGCATGCTCTAAGAGAAATGACCTTTTATGATGGGTAAATAAAGTAATTATCTAAATAAAAGTCTACATAATGTGATAAGGGAACATACAGTATGCGCAACTCCGGCAAGTCTGAGAATTCTGGTGGAAGATACCCAAATAAATTAAAAAGAATTGACTTAGTCTTCCAAGTATAATTGTATAATTTATCTTGAAAGGAATTGACATGGTCTTTCTAGGGCACTCGTAAAACGCTTCCAAGATGGATTGACACGACATCACTTTAGGACAATAACCCTAAATTCAGCAAAAATAGGATTAACTCGTTTTATGATATATTTTTAAGGTTTCTCTTTCTAAAATAACATTTCTCTCTTTCTCTCTAAAAAAATATTTATTTAATAATCTAAAAGTTTTCAAATTTTGCTAAAAGTAACCTTATACAAATACTAGTTACCATTCATCTTAAATGTAAAGAATAAATTAGATTGTTAGAACCAAAAAATTAATCAATTCTTCAATATATAATCCTTGTTCCAAAGCTACTCGGAAACCTCATCAACAAGTAAAATCATCTAATTGAGACATTAAGAGCATCTTGAAAATGATGCTCTAAAGATACTACAGTAAATTACTAATTTCTTAGTACAAAAGAAAGACATGTAGATAGAGTCTCACAGTCTCTGCAGAGAAGGAAGATTTGAGAAACTTCTTGGTATAGATCCATTAAAATGGTTATCTGATAGATCACTGCATCAAACAAGAATAAGTTTCAACTACAGGAATACCTTAAAGAAAAACTAATTAGGTTATCAACAGGTTTTGAAATATAACATTGTTTTGCATATATTTCAATCAATAGAAGATCAAATCTCCCTGATAGAAATCTGTACTGTCAAGAATTAATAGTTTTATGTTCCTTTTTGAACAGAAAAACCTACCAGTATACTTTGGTTTACTTACATAGTGGTTATGTTATCAGAGAGTGTTGGTGGCAAGGGTCCATTGAGCTCATTCTTGCTTAGATCCCTGCAACAAGAGCCCGATAACATTAACTGAAAGGCAACAGTTGTGTTATAGTATGAAATTCAGATACCACTTACAGATATGAAAGGTTTTGTATGCTGCTAAGGCCCGGTATGCTTCCTTGTAGGCTGCAATTTCTGAGACTTCTATCTCGTCGAAGAAGATTAGGAAACGAAAGAGTAAAATTATCAGCTAACACAATGGCGAAACACTTGAAGCCTCCCGACTCCAGAAGTGGAATGTGATTTTGCAAAGAAGTACTTAATAATTCACCTTCATTAGTGACTGGATTTAAACATCAGTTTGTCTATTAAAAACTCGAGACAGAGAGTGCTGGTTAAGAGCATGCACTTTCCTTCTCTGCATAATTTAAAACTGTGTTTATGAAGGCACAGTTGGTTATATAGAACTTACAATTTTGCTAATTTGGAAAGGTTGCCATAGGTATCTGGAATCCCAGAGCCAATAAATTTGTTGTTGTCAAGCTGACTGCATGGTGAGAAGGGGGAACTATCAATGGATTTAATCAATTACAATATATATATAAGCATGTTACTTAAAGCTGCTAAGTTTTTTCCAGGACGGAAACCATCACTGACAAGCAACTATTGATCAAATCCATGTACATCAAAAACTAAGAGCATGCTCTAAGAGAAATGACCTTTTATGATGGGTAAATAAAGTAATTATCTAAATAAAAGTCTACATAATGTGATAAGGGAACATACAGTATGCGCAACTCCGGCAAGTCTGAGAATTCTGGTGGAAGATACCCAAATAAATTATTATTATCCAAAAGCCTGTGAAACATTGTTTAACATATCCTTAAATACCAACCAACAACATTCGGCAGGGATGATCACCAAGAGAATTGTTGAACAACAGAAATGAGAACGAAGTAGCTGCAATATGAACTTACAAGTGACGAAGAGTGGATAATTTGGAAAGCTCGGGTGGGATTTGACCCCTAATCGAGTTGTTGTTCATGTGGCTGCAAAATCACATCCAAGCAGATAACATGTGTCGGAAAAAGCTGAACTCTTTGGGGAAACTTGCAGAGACATTTAACTTACAGATGTTTCACTGTGCTCAAGTTGGCAAATGATGTTGGTATTGGACCCGAGATATAGTTCATGTCCACTTGTAGTCGATCTAATTTCGATAAATAGCCAAGCTCATCAGGTAAAAAACCTGATAATTTGTTGCCATTCAAGAGCCTGTTTACCAAATGAATCGCACAAGGTTAAACTATCTCGAATCATATGATCAATCTAGCTTCATCTTATAGATTAATGGACACAAATCATAAAATATGTCGATGCCCTTCAAAACACATTTGACTTCAGCGATTTTTTGCATCAGAGTTGCATAAACACCGTCACTAAAACTGAACCTTTTCAGAATAATAAGAACATCCTTTCAGAATAATAAGAACATCTTAATAAACTCTTCTATATATTAAGCATAAAAATTTCTTACGAGCTACATCTATCAATTGAACTTGAGAACGAAGGACAACTCAGATAACTAATTTAAGATGATTCTTGCATTATACTTTCTTGTTCACAAGGATATCAAACTTATACAATGAAACCAACTTACAGGAGTTGTAAAGATGAAATGTTTCCTATCTCCTTCGGTATGCTGCCATCCAATTCGTTCCACATGAAATCCCTTGCAACAGGCAGCACAAAGAAATGGCATTAGATAACTAAAAGGACTGACTAGAAATAGTTACATACAGATTGTAGAGTTGTCCAGAAATTAGGTTGTGGCTCACAATATTATAAGTTGAGAAAGTTGGCCAAGCTCAGGTGTTAAATGTCCAGAAAGATTCATACTCAGCAGTTGCCTGCATCAAAACTGAAAACAGATGAGTAATCATAGCCAAATTTCTGTAAATTAATGAGGAAACACATCTTGAGAACGTATTAGATTCGTAAAAATAAAGTAAACAACTGAAGCGAAGTACTAGATTTTTCTGCACCATATTACATTTGCTTTGTTCATTGAAATCAGAGGGATATAGATAAATCAATAACAGCAAAAGTAAAATGCAGAACAAAAGGAACACACAGTTCTCGGACGTGCAAATATCCATCTGTCCCATATGTGTCGAAACAAAAAATGCCAGTCCAGTGGGATGCGCAAGGATCTCCCCTTTTCCAATTACTGAGATGCTTCATAGGATCAACCAAACTTTTCTTGACTGATACCAATGCAGCAACTGCAAAAAGGCAGGGGATGGAGCACATCAGAGCAGAAGAGTAGCAAATCTGGACATCACAAGAACATATTTGACAAAACCATATGATGTTTTGCCTCCTGGTACTTCATTCTGAAAAGGAGGGAAGAAGAGGGATTTTCATCTTTTGCATGGAACTCTCAAATTTGCTACTACGAGAAAAAGAAAAAAAAAAGTTCGAAGACGTTAATTGTCATTCGCCGGCAAGAAACTTTCCTCAACTTGCTCTCCTGCTATGTACATCCCTTGTTGTCCTCCAGCCAACGACAATTTTAGCATTAGTTTCAAGTAAAACACACTTCAGCCCACTGTACATGTTCAACACATCATGTGGATATTGGAAGAAGAAAAATCAAAGATCCAATTAAATGGAAGGAAAACATCAGGACTTCTGGACAGAAATTAACCTTCTGAGGGATCTGTGAGTTGTGCATCTGTTTGGAGCACAAAGTAACAATAGGACAGCACAAAAACACAGCCAAGACTTCTCATGCACGACATGTTGATTGCCTACATAAACCAAACCAGCCACTTTGAGTAAACATTGCATATTGTCAACAATCCCTCCAAATTCCAAAGCATATCCAGCACCAATCAAGCAACAAGAAATACTCATTTCACCTAAATTAGCCTAATCAAATTTCTAAATTTGACATCCTAAGCTAACAAGCTTGTCAATTCAAACCATATAATCCTACTAACTCAAGATGAACCAGGGCACCACTCTTAGTAGCTTACAAACTTTGTAGTCAGCCTAAAGACCAAGTAAGCACTTTCTACAAAAACATAACATTAAAAAGTAAACAGAGAAGCTTACTTGAGACAAGTCAAGTGTATGGTTAAACTCAAATGTATATATTGTTGAAGACAATGAAAATTATGGATAAGAAAATATTTTAGAACCCTACGATGGTCCAATCAGGCAGGAATTGTGGTGTGGAAAAATACAAGGAAGACTTGTTTGTGGGGGTAATGATAATAAAAGATTTTGAAAGGAATTGTGGTGTGGAAAAATACAAGGAAGACTTGTTTGTGGGGGGAATGATAATAAAAGATTTTGGAACCTTGTGGCATATTGAAAACCGTGTGTGAGATGGCACTTTGTCTTCATTGTTGGCTTCGATTTCATCGGGTTCAGAGGGGAGACAGCGAGTGACTGGGAGAGATCAGACTAAACATCTCACTTCTTTCATTTTCCACTATTTTGCCATCAAAGCACTTTGTCCCACCATTACAGATCATGACAGCAGGTTTTGGCACCTTCTTTTTTTTTTTCCAGATAATAGTCGAGATTTTATTAACTTTTGGGTAATAATAAGTTAGCCAAAGAAATAGAAAAAAAGGCCACGACAGAAAGAAGAAGAAAAGAAGCCATAAAAGCACGGCTGCTGCTATGAAAAAGACAGGACAGAGACCAGACAAAGTGTTTCACACACGGTTTTGCCTCCTGGTAAAAGTCAGCTGTGAGTTATTCTGTTATTCCAGAATTTGTTCCCATCAGAGCTGATCCCTAGACCCCTTCCAGTGTACGCTAAAGTGTTTCTATCAATCTTCAACCATAAGGCAAGCACCTTGACTACGCTTAAAAATATCATCAACTTGGAACACGTCAACATGGTCATTTTCTTAGGCCTGCTGAACATTCAAAGTAATAAATAAAATATAAAATACCTTTCAGAAATTTGATTTCTGATAGCATATCTTTCTCTTTACATCAAGAAGAGAGAGTTCTTATCTTTTACTTTGTTGGATGTTTTATCTAATTTTGATTATGATTGGTTGGCATCATTGTGTATGAGGAAATCTGAGATTCTCCAATGCAGTTGTTTTAGTAAATGGATCAGTGAATATGTTGAGCACTTGTTCTGATCCTTTATTACTAAATTTTCAAGAAAAACAAAATTGGAGAACGCAGTTGGAAGCCAGGTTGAGGAAAATTGTTACGGTGCTCAGGGAGTAACTAGTGACATTCTATCCGTTAGTCTCTAGATCCACCTCGAACAAACAAACAAACAAGAACATGAAAGAGAAGATGAAACTCATGGCCACTAAAAATGATAAGAACATCTAAATTTCCCGTTAGTACATTTATGCTTGTCGATAAATATGTGTAGAATCAAGTTAAAGTGATGAAACCGATTCAAAATTTTTTCTCCCTTGCAATAGGATTTTACTTGCAGAGTTCTCATAGTATCAGAAAGTTTGGAAGGTAGAGACCCCCTAAGGTTGCCCTTTCTCAGAGCCCTGCAAGCCAAATTATAAGATATGCAGGTGCCACAAGTGAAACACAAGTTCATGAATATAAAAATAAATTATATTTTTAAACCAGCTATACAGGAGCAATTCTGCACTATCAGAATTCATGTCGAAGACTTC